CCCCCCAATGTGTCTTGGTTCCATAAATTATTGAATATTCCAAAATAATTCTTCAAAAAGTTTCGTCCAATTTCGAGAAATTTTATTTCTGCACAAAAACAACACCATGGTAGTTCTGCTGAAAACAGCGTCAGTCCAGGTTAGTTTCATTCAAATCATGCAAATTAGAGTGCAAAACAAGAGCAAAAGCGTTAGGAAAAGTAGATACGTTGGATTCGTATCAATGGCAGGCGCGAGAATTGAGGAGGCATAATAACTTTTGGAGCCAGGGGTGCCTTGATTTTCAGTATTAAATAATATTCAAAGATTCGTTGTGATGTGAGTATATGGTTTCCTGGATTTTCGGCGGATGATGTCATCAATAGGAGAACAAGAAAAATAACAAGTCTGGAGATATCCTAAGCCGGCATTTTATGACCCGGGTAGATGCAGGTTTGACTAGAAGGCAAGCCGCTAGGTTATAAGGACGGAGATTGACATGAATGAATTCGAATCAATGTGGGGGCTAATGTTGGGGATATAACCCCACGATATGACCCGCCATATTGGGTCGGATCATCCGGGTGGCGGCTGGAGAGCAAGACTCAAGACGGGCAGAGGCGCCTAGGTGCAAGACCGATCGGGCGGCTCACAGAGTGGGCCGGCTCAGGGCCCGGCATCCGAAGACGGCGGCTCATAGTCCTGAAGTACAAGTCGCCAGGAGTTTTCCTTACTTAGGGAAGAAGATCAGATAGAAACATACTAAGTCACGAGTCATGATACGACCCGGACTCTTGTAAGCCCAGGGCCTCGACCTGTATATAAAGGTGAGTCCCTGAGGCAGAAAGACTTAAGTTTCGATTGGTCAATAGCTAGGTCAAGCGAATCCGCTCCCTTGCATTTGATCACCTAGCAATAGACTATTACCTCAATCGTGAGGGGCCGAACCTGGGTAAATCCGTGTCTCTCGATTCCGATCAACCCCGACAAGCTAATCACCTAGTTGCGATGGCCTCACGTCTAAGTCCTCACACTAGGACATCTGCCGTGACAAAACCATGACAGACGTATTGCTTAATTCCCCCTGGAGGTAGCAAGTTGGGTTGTCTAGGATCCTGTGCGGGGGCAGGATGCCGGCAGAACATTCGTTCTTAATCGTTGATCTGATTTGAAGATGTTTGATGTAACATGAGCGCTTGGATGTTATTAAGTGGGTTTGATCGGACGTGGGTTGTTATCCCTGTGTACTTTGTGGGGTAGCTATAGGGGAATTCATGTTTGCTCTTTTAATAGTAGTGTAGATGTAGATAGTCCAGTGCCCACAAACTTCCCTATATGGGTCTCCAGCCTCATTCCCTGTCCAGAGGGGGTACCCATCGTTGGGAGGTGCTCGAGCCTCCCATCATAAAAAAAAACATGATCTTTTTCATTTTTATGATTGATCTGAATTCATGTTTTTTTAAACCATGATCATTTTTTAAAAATTGTGAACTTCTTGAAAATTCATGGTATTTAAAAAAAATGTGAATATTTATTCCAAATTGGTGAATCTTTTAAAATTATATGAAGTTTTCTAAATTCATGAACTTTCTCCGCGAACATTTTTCAGATCCATAATCTTGTATCGTTTAGTTATTAATTATGACGCTGACTAGTATTCAGGATGTGATACCATTATCATGTTGAGTACCAGAAACTGTTAGTAGATAGTGTATTTGTGTTAAAATTATATTATTTGATAAATGATGTTTATAACACAAAATATAGAAGAGTGGGATGTATATTAAGTAGTCAAATGAAAAACAAATGATACAAATTTGGGAGACGATCCCCATAGGAGGGCATTTCCTAGTTGGCGCCAAAAACAGTAGCTTTTCATACACAACCAGTGAACATAAATGGGCAGGCCCAGAACCAACTCCCTTTAGAAACTGGTTTTGCGAAGCTCTCAGAAGCGTCCTTTGTTTTTTCTTCCTTTTTCATTTCTCTATTTTCTTTCCAATTTATTCATATTTTTAAGGTTTTTCAGTTTGTTTATTTTTCGTATTTTCCTTCTTAAAAAAATAAATCATAACTTCTTATTTGAAGTTTGTTTTATAATTGTTTTCTAAGAATAGGTTTTTTTAATTCATAACGTTTTCGAAATAATTAACTCTAATGATGAACATTTTAAACCAGTGATATTTTTTAAACAATTATGAACTATTTTTAAGTCCACGAAATTTTTTACATCCACGAACATTTTCCCAGATTCATGAATATTTTTTAAAATTTATGAAAAAAATAAAAAATCTGTTATTTTTTTAATTTATAAGACAGTATTTTTTTGCATGAGAGAGTAGATAACTAGCACTAAAGCGGCCGGAAAAACCAACGAACGAGAGAAGTTAGCGGCCGAGCAAGCAAACACGCTAATAGAGGCCGCAGCCTGCCGAGCGTTTCGTGAGAGCCTCCACACGGCTGGGCGGCGTCTGAAGCGTCGAAATCACTAATTATAGGGTACTCTTTGTAATGGTCATTTCCCACCTTTCTTGTGATAACAAGTGGCACACTACCTATGCGACACTTGTCCTAACACATAAATTTTGACTTTTTCGTAGACTTGTCTTTGCAAATTGTTTTATCTCTTGAACCATGCATTCAAATCATGAACCGTTTTTACCGTTGTGTTTCTTGCATCAAGATCTTCGAAAATAGGTCACATATTAATAGATTTGAGATTTTTTTTATTAAAAACCCCAAAACTAAAAAGAGCAAAAAAAACCAAAAACCCGAAGCACAACTATGCTTCTTTCGCTTTATTCAAAGGAATTGTTGTTCTGTTGCCCTTTTTCATGAAGCATACTTGTAATTCACATGAAAGCACAACTGTGTGTTTTATTTATTTATTGAGTTGACGATATTCACTTTTTTGAAGAAAAAAAAAAGCACAGTTCTGCTTCACGACGATCACAGATGCCCGACTGTGCTTTTCATATATGCTTCACCGTGTTTTGTCGCATGATGTGCTTCACACAGGAAAGATAAGATAACTTTTTTGTCAGGTTCCCGACAGGTTCGTCTAATGCGCGCCGCGAAGAAACAAACCGTTTGCAAACAAAAAAAAAACATGTTCCCGACAGGTTCGTCTAATGCGCGCGCATCCTGTAAAAAAAATTAAGGGGTACCCGCTCAATAGTTTTTTTTTTTTGAGGCAAAGCTTTTTTTTTCATCTGAGCTCAATAGTTTAGTAAGTGAGTGAGTGGGAGGCCGAGCCCAAGGCCCGAAAGCTCTCCAGCCCAGTTGGAGACCGAAGCGATTCGGTGTCTAAAGAGGGGGAATCGATGTGTGGAGGAAATCATTTCGCGTCGGTGAGGGAGAGAAGGAAACCCTAGCCGCCGGCCTCCATTTTGTGCTCGTCCAGATCTGCTTGCTTGGTTGTGGCATGACGATAGTGGCGATGCGCACGATGGCCGCGAACCTGAAGCAGAAGCTCCCCGTCGCCGTCCAGCGGGTGTTCGCGTCTTCTCGGGCTCCGGTTCGTTCCCCATCTCGATCTTCTACCACCGTCTTATCTTAGTCTTTAGTTGATCTAATCGGCCGATTCACCGTGCTACGCTGCGCGATTGGTACCGCATAAGCCGATCTATCATTCTCTTCGCCCGCCGCCGCGAATTTGTATGCATGATCTTGGTAGTCGCTGCCTACTTTGTTGGTTAAAGTTTCGGAATTCAGCTTCGATTTTTTACCTGAAAGCAAAAAACCTTACCGATAATCGCCGCTGGTCGGACCAGGCTCTAGGACATGTGTCCTCCAGGATCTGTCTGTTACTAGAGACAACCGAAAGACTGTCTAGATGTCCCTGTAGACTTACTAGAGATTGATACAATGATGGACATTGGGGGTGCATAGTTCCTGCTTATGTTGGTTGAATTTTTAACATCAACTGACAATTTTGCAACTGTTGAAAACCAAAATTTTACCAATAAACACCACTCATCCAGAAACATGATGTCATACTTGTTTTTGGTATCACCATCTCTTGTCCAGGATCCCTCTTTTACTAGAGGCAACAGTAAATATTGCCTTGATTGGCCTATTTGCAATATAGGTTTTTAGACAAACCTAGAAATATTGTTTCAGTTACTAGGTTGCTGGTTAATTCCGTACCCTAACCTTCAGCATACAATAGTTACCATCCCGTCTCTAACTATGTGTACTGAATTGCTTGTAGGGAACCTCCAGCAATACTGCTGCCGCCATCGACAGCCTTGATCCAGAATTACGGTAAGACACTATACAAGATAGATTGATTCATTCATTATACTATTGGTCCTAACCCTCTGTCCTTTTCCTCTTTGGAAGCCGCCGGGTGCTCAATGATGTTGATAAGCTCATCAGGAGGAACCGCAGGAACGACCTCTTGGTCGCTGGTGCTGGCTTAAGTTTTGGAGGGATTGTCATGTCATATTTGGCTCATCGACTCACCAGTCGAAGTGATGACTGGCTCACCAAGTGAAATGATGAATGTAAATCTATCCTGCACTGCAAGTTTAACTATCTATCCTGCACTGCATCTTTAACTGGCCAGTTGTATGATTCCTGGCTTGTCTTGTGTGAGAGCACTCTATATGTGATGAGGGTTCTATGTTCTGTGGAATCTACTAGTGATGAGAGATCTAAGTTCTGTGATGGCATGTGAGATGTAAGAGCACTCGTATATTTATATGGATCCTATATATAAGCGGGTGATTTATCTATTGTGTTCTGCAATTGCCATTTGTTCCTGTGTGGTGTTGATAATTTTTTGTTGTTGTTGTTGAACTGGCCTATAACTTTTCATCCTGGGGTTTACTCACATTATGTTTTATGCTTCATATTTTCAATGGATTTAAGTCAAGGCAGTGGGCAATGCTTGTTTGCATGGTCTGAAGGATGGCCACCTGAAAAAAATATGGCTACCACACCTGTGGCTGAATGGCTAATACTGTTCTACATATTATGTGGTGTGCTTGGCTGCTGTAGTAATCTGTTGGCTGAAATCTGGACGGCACGGTTTTATGGAGATTCTTTCTCCTGGCTGTACATGTCGAGGGCATTTTATTGAACAGTATCATGCCTTTACTGCGTCAGGTGTGGGTTCTCAAAATTCCACAGCCCATTTTGTTAGCGTAGCTGTCCAACTGAAGGCTATTGACACTGTCTTACTGTTCATCTTTTTGGACTAACTGCCTTTCTTAAAATTCAGTTGTTTTTCTTACTGTTCATTATTAGTAATTCTATACAAGATGGCTATGGAAAATTCAATAGCCGATCGTTTCATTCATATATCCCTCACCCTCTCCTGCATTCTGGTACTTCTGATCAACAAATCGCTTCTCCCTTGCTCACCAAGCGCATGCACCTCGCTCTTGACACGGCACGACGTCTACCCTCTCTAAATTCCTTGCACGGTTCATCTGTTAATCCATCATGAGCTCTCGCTTCATTTTGTAACCCGTAGCATCATGGCTGCGACGTGTCCAACTCGGGTATTTCTGACGACCCCGAGGTCGCTGTGAGGTGTTAAATCTGATGGAGGCCATGATCAAGGGAATGAAGCGGCTAGTGCTCCGTCCTGTTCAGACTTCAGACCAAGACCCACGGCCATCCACTTCCAGAGGCTCCGTGAAGCACGCGGGTTCACTGTCACGGCAATGTCCTTGCCGCAGTCTAGGCCATGGATTGTGGACGAGATTGCGTGAGGAAGGAGACGAGGAGGAAAAGAGCACATAACAGAGGAGGAGCCGAGTAGCGATGCTGACAGTTCTCTCCCCTTGAGATCCAGATTGCCACTAAGCTGGAGCCATTAGAGTATCTACAGCCACGGACAGCAAATCCGGTCCTTCAAACGCCCGCGGGCATTAATCGAGCACCTCTAAAATAATGACTTCCACATGCAAACACCTCAATTATCATATCAAATCCATGCAAACGCATGCAACTACGTCGATGCACACGCACCGTCCGGCTACTCCATCACTACTAACTAAACATGCCATAGGACTACCAAACTTTGGCATGTTCAGCTATGGTGGAGATCATCCACGACTGCCCTTACCCTTCCCCGCGCCCTTTTCGTCCTTTTCGCGGAAGTACTGGTCGAAGACGCGGTACGGATCGATCAAGATCTGCTCGTCGCCGGAGCTATCCTCGCTGTCATCCTTCTCCTCCTTTGGTGGCAGTCCGGACATGCAACACGAACCGCCCAATTCTGCTCTCAGGCGAGGGCGCATGTGTTCCTCCGATGTCGTTTCTTCACAATGTGGGCGCGGATGGCTTCTTCCTCTAACGCCGCATCAGCCGCCTCCGCCGTCGACATATCCGCCGCGCTACGGGCCTCACCAACCCTTATCGTCTCCTTCCCACGGCGGGACGCCCATTCCCGGTGGGACTCATACTCTGCCCGGCCGATGATGGGGAAGGAGAGGTTATCCGGCTGCCGGGACCGCAATGATCCAGCCACGGAGGACCCTAGCACCCGTTGAACCGATAGTATGGAGTGGCGGCAGACAGATCCGCCCGTTGGCCGGGCGCTGTCCTCTTGGGAGCGGTGGAGTGCAATGCGAACCACCATTGCCTCCTCCAACCCGCACGGGATGACACCCCAGTCGACGGATCCGGACTGGTCGGAGTCAGATCCGCTGCCCGCCATCTCGGAGACGGCAGGAGCCCGCCGGAGATGAGCTCTGGTGGCGGATGGGAGGGGAAAGGGAGGGAGTGGAGTGAAGTGGCTAGGGTTTGGTCCGGCAAGCGGATGGGAAGGAATATATGTGTGGTCGGTTGGGCCAGCGTGGGTTGGGTCCGACGTGGCGGGTGTGCCCGGGCGTTTGAGAGAGGTCAAAAAATCGCGACCGGGCAGTGACCAGGCGACCCGCTCGGACATATGAAGCGGGTTTGTGAGGTCGAGTTGTAGATGCTCTTAGCACATTATTGCTACCAACATGGAACATTATTTTATCTTCATTATAGTACTGAAATATTCTGACACCGTATGGAGTGCAAATATTTTGCTACCAACCTTCAAGTCGACAAAAATTACAACCAAACCATATTAATCAATGACGAGTCTAGTGTGTGCGCGAAACAAAGCACCTGGTCCACCTCATCCACAAAAGGAATGTGGCAATCCCAGTTCAGATCTCAACTTATTTTAAGCCATAACTTTCAAACCAAACATCAAAATTAAGTTTCACTTTGACGAATCCTCGCGACATGCTTTAGAAACTAGATCCCGCATGGGTGTGTTCCGATAAACTTTGTGTGTGTGCAATTAGTCTTCGCTTGGTACAACTAACTATCAGTTGATGTGCAACTTTCTCGCTATTTGTGGACATAAAATTTTCAATTATGTGAATAGATGTGAACACATTTAATTTGAGTTTTCATTTAAAAAATGTCACAAATTTTGGACCGCACATAATTAAGATCCGTTTTCACCGTCAGAACCCTCACGGCGTGCTCTTTTAAATAAATCCCACATAGGTATGTTTCGGTGAATTTTTGTGTGTGCAATACAAAGGGTAATTAGTTCCCTCTGAAAAGTTGGCATGCCAATATTTGGCAAATGCAAATTTTGGTTAGTGATGGGTTAGCTACCAACTTTTCTTGTCATTCTCACAAAAAGTTGTCAAATTTGAGCAACTTTTGATTTTGCCAAATATTGGCAATGCCGAATGTTGGCATCAAACCAATTATGCACATACACTAGTAGAAAAAGGGTCATTTGTCCCGGTTAGTAGGGCCCATTTGTCCCGGTTGGGGAACCGGGACTAAAGGGTCGGTACTAAAACCCTATACCTTTAGTCCCGGTTCTTACACCAACTGGGACAGATGGGCCTCCACGTGGCCGCTGTGGCGAGCCCAGGCAGGAGGGCCTTTGGTCCCGGTTGGTAGCACCAACCGGGACCAAAAGGCATCCACGCGTCAGCAGCTGGCAGGGGCTGAGGTTTTTTTTAAAGAGGGTGGTTTAGGGGATTTTGGGCGGTTAATTTAGGGTGTTAGCTAGCTAATAGAGAGAAGTGTCATCTCTTATCTCCGTGCTTGGTTTACCAATGCTACTGCTATGCCTAAACATGGCTTAGATTGAAGTGAAGGCAACATGTGGTGCATGTCGAAAGTAATACTAATCCTAACTTGATCAAGTTTGGATTAGTACTACTTTCGACATGCACCACATGTTGCCTTCAATTCAATCCAATCCATGTTCATTTCACCCACTGATATATAAAAACTCTTCATGCTCACATCATGCATCATCGTAATAACAAGTCCTACTAATCATCATCATACAACTTCTACTTGTTATTAATAACAAGTTATACGATCATCATCCTCATAGTCATCGAACCAACCCAACTTAATTGTTCTTAGCACGTGATCATCAGTATTAGGTAGGACCTAAATACCCTCTTTAAGGTAACATAGCATAAAACAATATAGGCCCTGACTCTCCGTTATGGAGAAAGGAGATCATCCTGTCTCCAATTCTTGCGCTTCACTTCCTTTTGCTTCCGAGAACCTCCTTACGACTGTCCATACATTTTTTCCATTCTTTGATTAGCATGTGTTCACCGGTTAATCCGGTATGGACAGATGAGATTCGTAGGATGACCTGACTCTATGTTCAAAACATCAAGGAGACCATTCTGATACATCAAATGAGGCACACAATCCATCGGGATTTTCTGTTAAAAAACATAGTAATAACTTCGTAGTTAGCAATGATGTACTAGTTTTAAAAGTATGCAAAAGATGCACGGATGTCATAATAGTAAAAAAATCTTATTAGGGTATCTCCATAGAAGTTACCGTGGTTCAACACGTGCACTAGTGGCACGTATTGACCATAATTTGGAGGAGTATCATAATAGGTATTGTAATTCTCATGGTCAGTACAAAATGCGATCAGATGATTTTTCTCCTGATAAGTTAATTCGGAGCCATCGGTGTAGTGCGTATTGTCTACCATCTTCCGCACATTGTTTGAAGAATGAAAATAAGCTGTTAACTATTTTGAAATAAACAATATAAATTAGCTAATAACTACTCCCTCCGTTCCAAAATAGATGACCCAACTTTATACTAAGTTTAGTACAAAGCTGAGTCATCTATTTTGGAACGGAGGGAGTATGTTTGAGAAACTCACATAGAGATAGAATTGGAAGCGTATCAACAAGGACCCAAATATCCATATTGTCTTGCTCGATGTCAGGATCACCAAGATCCATGGTGACAAGCATATCCTCAGAAAAACCATACATCTTGCAAAGTGATTCCCAATTTGGGCAACCAAAATGGGTTACGCTCTGAGAATTGTACAGATTTACTTCAAAATCCATACCATGATGGGTCCTTAGGTGAATTTTCTTTGTTTCAAAACTTTCATGGTCTTCAAAACCCATCCTCTCCAAGACATAGCGTCTTGAATGGCATGGGATAAGCTAGTCGAATTGTAAAAGTTGAAAATTACACGTTCAA